AAATGGTTTTCAATGCATTCCTGTGGGAAATGCAGATTTGACCTGAGAACTTTTTGATTTGAGAACTGCCTTCCAATACGGATTAAGTTCTCAAGTCAAGACCCCACTGTATTTTCAAGAGGCTTGGAAAAATCTAGCTATCCTTTCTTTTGGCTACAGCTTAAGTAAAAGTATATTCTGCCATATTTTGTTGTTTGGATGTGGACAGCAGAAGAGACTGGAAACTATTCTTGACTAGCCAGCAGCAGCCACGATTTTCTTATCTTCTGTAGAACAAGGAAGGTTTCACCAACAGTATCCATAAAGCAGCAGGAGTGGGCAGCATATAGCCCCCCCCCATTTTATTGGATTTTTACTCCCCCATGAACTCTCACTAGGACTTCTGGCTATGACAGGAAAGAGTTGCAGTCCACCTTCTGGAGAAGGCTGCCTAAGTTGCCTTTATTAGGAATAAAGCTCAGTGCAATCCAGGTCTTAACTCTACAGGAATGAACGCACCCCTCCCCTACCCACAACTTGCACATTACCACTCATTAGGCCCTTCAGCATCTTCTTGATGAATTCATCATAGGTGTAGTGTTACAGAGTGCAATCATAAAGGCTGTTATTATAGTGAGCAACAATAATATGTTCCTTGTTAACTCCACCAAGCATGCCAGTGTGCATTCTGGGGGAAAGAAAGCAGAGCTTAATATACCCTTCACTGTGACAGCTGCTAACATCAGTAATAAACAGTTGGGTTTTAACCATTACAGGGCACAAATTGTGCAGAAAGGAATTTTATTAGAACTGGGGAAAAGAATACAGAACTGAAAGGCAAGAAGACAAAAGGAGGGTCTGTGTCATCTACTTAAAATCACAAGCCCAGAAGGGGCAGTAGGGCACAAAAGAGACTCACAACTGGCAATAAAGAAAGCAAACTTTTTCAGTACAGTAATATGAGATTGGACCCAAAAACAATTAGAAATTACTAAAACTGGATAATACTGACTGACACAAGCAAAACCACAAGTCACATTAGCACCGTCTTGTTTCAGATAAAGCCAGCTGAGAGACTGCTTTGTAAAGCTCACAGCCACAGTTTCTTGAGCCAGGTGGCCTACACACCATCTGCAAGAGAAGGAGTAGCTTGTAGATAAAGAAGACATCTGCTACTGCAGTCAGCTCCATGTAGAAATCTCTGAGGAAACCAACTTAGCCGACTTTCTGGCCTATTAACAGGGCAGGAACAGCAATCAGTGACAAGGAACAGAGTCACAACTTCCTTGTATACATCAAGATGGCAAAACAGCCCAGTCCAACACAGCATGCTGCAGTCAGAGATACAGTGGCTCCTGTTTACTTGCAGCCTTCTAAGGCACATGTTGGCCTATGTCCCAAGCACCACCACCCACAGCTTACCAAAGGTTCCTCAAACAGCCATAATGATGGGGTTACATCCCCCTCCACAACAGACAGCTTTGTGGTGCCCATGTGGTTCATGAAAAGTAACTCAAAGACACAGCTATACCCCACTGGAGTAAGTATGACCCAAGAGAACTATGCAGGAGGTCTCTGATAAGACATGGCTGTGTGAAAATTGCATCTTAAAGGTAGAAAAATGTGTACACCCAGGTAGTTTCCTTGAATTAGGACTCATATTTACAAAATCCAATGCATTTGTCCATTCATGACACAGCAGCACTCAGAGATTATTTACAGGCACATGTAGAGACAGTATACAGACATGGTACCATACTAATATATAACCAGTCTACTACATGAATTGGAAATTGGACCCCAACTACTGTTATAACACAAAACAGCTGAAACACACACAATGAATTTAGTGATGTTAAGTAGTCCTCTAGAGAGCCCTTATAGTTCCCTGCAGAATTCAAGCAAAACTGCACCAGAGCACAGACAGAGTTCTGTCTTCTGTCCTCTGAAGATGCTGGCCACAGAGACTGGTGAAACATTAGGAAGAAAAACCTTCAGAACATAGCCAAATAGCCTTAAAAACCTACAGCAACCATCAGATCCCAGCCATGAAAGCCTTCAGCAAACAGAATTTTCCTCCCACCCAGGAGCAGGTTATTTTGTAAGGGGTCATACGTATAATCAACTAATGAAGGCCAAGCCATCTGTTTGCTCACCAGTAACTTCACAGACTGCAGCTATGCTTGCAAGGGTCGCGGACACAGGGAAGGAAGGGGAGAATAATCAATGATGTCATTGCCTTTGATCATGGATGTGCAGTCACTCTTAATCCTGTAAGCCTTAGCCCAATCACACCTCTGCTTGTTATTATGAGGCTGATCTATTAATATTAACACAAGTATCATGAAAGCTCAGTAACCATTCCTTCTAAGACTTTGTTGGTTCTTGGGGAGCAGCAATGCAGCACAGATGTTACACTTACAGTGATGCCTCGCAAAACAAAATTCATTCCGCGAGTCGTGTCGTATTGCGAAATTTTCGTCTTGCGAAGCGCGATACTAACAGTTGTGCGATTTAAAACAAACCCCTCAAAAAAGGGGGAGAAATTGTCTTGTGAAGCACGGCCATAGAAAAATTCATCTTGCAAGTCACCAAAAAAATTGCAAAACGCTTTTATCTTGCGAGTTTTCCGTTGTGTGAGGCATTCGTCTTGTGAGGCATCACTGTATATACACACCTTACTATATATTCATATACTTCTCCCTGATGAAATTAAGAAGGGAATTTCCCTTTCCCTACCCAACTTTCATTACAGCACTTTTGAAATAAAGTGCAGTAGTAGCAGTACACAGTCCCCACCTTGAATTTTAACATATTCAGTGTCATCATGTATTTGTAGCTAAAAGCTCAAATCTAGGCTACAGGATTCTCTTTGTTGCAGTACAGCCAAATGCCAATATAGAACACTGATCTAACAAACATACCTTTCCCAGTTGATCATTTTGTCTGTTTTCATTATTCACAACAGAACTTTGCACAATTTAAAATTCAGCAAGTGTACAGTGCAGTGCTTCTGGATTTTTTTAAAGGAAGATCTATATTATTTGATTCATTCATGTTTTCATATTGGATGATGTTCACAGATGGTCACATCATTTTTGTCAAGGCATCCCAGACAGACAACACTGTGTGTCTACAGCAAGGATGGAGAAACAACTGCAGATCCCATCATCTCTGCTCACTGAGGCTGATGGGAGTTTGACGCTAACAAAAGTGGGGGTACATACCTTCCCTATTCCTTAAGTACTTTCCACAGATGCTTGAGAAACCGTTGTATGAAGAAATACATACTTCTGTATAATGGAATTCTAGCAACCTCTGTTGCCTATCTGACTGGTGAAATCTTACAAGTTTAAAAGCTTGTGGGGGGGAGGAATGCAAAGTGCTGCTGCTCCTCTTCAAAAGATCAGAACAGTTCTCTCCCTCCCTCCCTCCCCCACCTTTTCATTACACTAAGTACATTTGGGCCTCATTAGAACTGTCCTCTGAATCCTTTCTTAATTTGCCAAGTTCCCTAAGCTTATCTAGCCAACCACTACAAGAAACACACACACAACACACACACAAACATGCCACACACACACAAACACACACACACACAAACATGCCATGGTCATAGATTGCTACAGACCTGGCTAAAGAACACATGCTCCAGTTGTCTTTTATGTTTACCTTCACATTAGCCGTGGCTCATCATCAACAAAAAGTTAGACTGATACACAATAATGCATTTCTGGAAAAACTACTAGTGGCAGTTATCGGTTCACTCCAAGCTGCAGCAAAGTGATGAATGCCAATAGTTTAATTATTAAAATTTAATAATATCTGTACATTTAGTCCTGGAGTTTAGCTCAAGTTTACAAGATCAAGGGTGACTCAAAGCTTAACCACTAATCGATCACAACATGGTTATAAGTATCCTCACCTTTCCTTTATTGTTCATTTCTTTTGCAGAGAGATTTATTCATTAACATGCAAGAAAAATGGAACAATGATGACTTGAGTATGTTCAGTGAGCAGGCCTGATATTTTGAGAACAGTGATGTTCAAGACACTTCACACAGTTGCAAATGGACTAACACAGGCTGCATTTTTCAGTTGTTCGCACTGTTTATTAGCTAAAAACAAGGCTTCCTGTAAACTACAAAATACTGTAGCCACATTTAAACATAAATATGATCCAGTCATATTTAAAGTGGGTTTTTTCTTACCATTATAGACATAAAAGGAGGCCAGCCACAAGTACATTGGCTAGTTCCTTTTAAACAATATGCCAGATGTATCCTTTGTCTGTGAGCGTATTTTGACATGACATGCAACATGAGTGTCATAGCTCATAAGTGTTTGTACACATTCTGCAGTATAAAAACACACATTAAATATTTCACTTACAGACTTGTTTGCGTATCTGCCCCTCCCCCCAATTTGTGTCAGCCTATAGTAGATTCCACCTCATTTGGACCTGAAATTCATACAATAGCGTCTCCAACCACTCCCCTAATTCATATAAATGGCAATACTAATCAACAATGCTCACTGGTTCTGTAGCTAGAGATGCCCACAACACATTCATTTTTGGAAGTACTCCACAGCAGCTTACTAGTGAAGATAAACAAACACCAGTTCTGTCCTGCTATGAAAAGATACTGAACTAGTTAATTTTTTTAACTTGAAAAATAAATGTTTGTTACAGGGAAGAAAATGAAATAATGACAGAAAGCATTCAGATATTTTTATGACAGAAGAGCTACAGCCTGTGGTAGCCATCCTGAACAGACCTGGGAAACAGGATACTGTGAATTGTGTTGTGGGTTTTTAGACTACTGTTCTCACCTAAAAAATAGATGAGCCCTTGGGACATCTCCTCCTCTTTGTTCCCAGCCACTCTGAAGTGGCCATTGCTGCCAATTCCCACTGCATCCCAATGAGATACTAAATTAATCCACTGAGGTGAGGGAATGCTATCATTCCCCATGACAGCCTCTTGGATTAACTGCTGTTCACACTCCCTTTATATGGTGTGAGTTTCTTTTAAAGTTCTGCCCATACTAACTGCCCGCCCACCCCAACTTCTGTTTAAGTCTGTACTCACCCAGGCCAGTTATGCAGATATACTATGGGGAGTGTTGGCTCACCCCATCTCCTTTTAAATGACTGACAACTTGGTGAAACTGCTGCTCCACCTCCTCCCGCCCGCCCGCCAAATCAATGTGGTGGCAAGGGGACATGAAATAAGCCTTGAGAAGGATCACACAGTAACCAGACCTGGCTTCTGCTAAAACCAGCTCCCGCATTTAATGGACAATGTATGTAAGTGAAAAGAATGTACAGGTGCCGTGGTGTAAACACACTCTTAAAATATAACGGACAAGGAGAACGGTAATACAAGACTTTGGTCCAGACCAGTCAAAGAAAGCCTTTGTTGTTCTAAACATTTTCCACATGTTGAAAAATGTGGAAAATGAGAAGAGAGGTGAAAGAAGAACCAGAAGAAGTGGCATAACAATCTGACAGGTCCCACCAAAGAGATGATGAGAACTGAGGAAAGTGTCCTTTTTTTTTTTAACCATTGCACCTAAAATCCCCTAATCAGCTCATGGGGACTCTGGGAATTGTTCAGGAAGGTAACTTTTCTAAGCTCAGGGCCTGAATCGCCCTCACACAGAATCAGAGAATAAGTGAAATCAGAAAGGGCCTATAAGGCCATCAAGTCAAACCCTCTGATACTGTATTGCTAAGATCCATTAGACACAGCCTAAGAATCAGTAAGCAATTTCCCTTCAACCAAAAACACATGTACATCTTGGCAGGGAGAAAAAGAAAGGGCTGTTTGCTAGTAAAAAAAGAAGACATTCCTTTCCATCCAAAGGTACATGTAATTGAGAAGTCTTATAAGAGAGACCTGCTTTTCACTTCGCTATTTCACTGTCACCTGAGCGGCTACGATGCTCCACCAACACTTTCAACACCAGAATAGCACCAGAAAAATGAAGACATGGAAATCTGGTCTCCAACCAATCTCTTGTACGCATCGTGGTGAGTGATTGCCATTATCAGGCAATTAAGATACAGCTGTCCTCAATTTGCCTTCCATGTACAATAATTCAAGCATCTCTGAGCTGCCTTCTATAAAGACTGACTTCCTGGGGATTAAGCCAGTCACCCTGCTGTGGGAGCTGCATCAAACAAGGCACTCCATCACTTGAAACAGGAACTCAAGAATCCGGATGGTGATTTTAGGGCATCTGTGAAGATATGAATTGTTCCCCTCCCCACTTCCCCATCTTAGTAAAAATATTAAAAGTATAAGAAGATAAAAATTCGATAATTCTTCCAACAGGAATCAGTTCTGTTCTGTTCCCAGCCTCTACTCTCCCTCTTGGTGAGGCTTCATGCTAATTAGATTCCTCCAAGGAAGGAGACAAAGGCCTGTTAAGGAGTTAGGAAAGTTCAAGAGCATTCGAGCTCTGGATGAACAATACCTTCCTTTCCTGATCAATACTACAGACACTGAATCACCGACTGGCAGGACTGCTACTTCTAAGAGTTTTGTTTAGTTGCTCAGTTTAGAAACATCTCTTCATGTACATCACTGAAGTCAATGCCCTGTCATTTGCAAAGTAAAGCTCCTGAAGCAGAGCTTCAAGAAATACTTTGGGGGAGAACCCCTTACTTCTTGACAGCTGTGTGCAACCCCCCCAATTCCTCTGTTGCACACCCTGCAGGCAGAATCAATCCAGACGCTTTCCAGCAAGTGGCTCACGAATGGCAAGGGATGCTTTACACTCTGATTTGGTAACCATTAAGATCTGGCATGGCTTTGGGCTCTGTAGGTTTCTTCTCCCCTGATGACCTGTAAGGAAAAAAGTGAAAAGACAGCACAGATAGAAAGTCAATGCTGAGAATCCTGATCCAGAGAAAAAGTCCCCAATGTGGGGAAGTGCTTCCAGAGCTTGCAAACTTACATTTAAAAAGGAATTCATTCCATTGCTTATTATAATAATTCAAAAAAATAAACATCATTAACTCCATTACTCTTTAAAACATAATTAATTGCCTTTGCAATGTTGTGTGTGTGTGGGGGAACCCTGTATGTTACTCATTAGTTTTTTTAAAAAAACTACTTTGAGGGCAGGGGTTGAACAAAAGAAAGGCATGTTGAAAATGCCTGTGCAAATCTTTTAAAATGTTGCTAAAATGGACATGGTGGTGCTGTGGGTTAAACCGCAGAAGCCTCTGTGCTGCAAGGTCGGAGGACCAGCAGTTGTAAGATTGAATCGATGCAACAGAGTGAGGTCCCGTCGCTTGTCCCAGCTCCTGCCAACCTAGCAGTTAGAAAACATGCAAATGCAAGTAGATACATGACCATGGAAACTGTCTACAGATAAACGCTGGCTCTACGGCTTGGAAACGGGGATGAGCACCGCCCCCTAAAATCTGACACAACTGGACTAAATGACAAGGGGAACCTTTACCTTTACCTTAAAAGGTAGCTAGACAATGTTTACTCAACCAACAGAGTGAATTCATTCCAAGTCATGACATTATTTTTGACATACAACTTTTTGACAGCCTTATTAACAAAAAGGAAAAGATAAGTAACTATGTTACAGGTAATTATTTTGCTCGTAACTCATTATACATCCCCTCTTTCAGTAACCCTCATAATGCTATTAAATTCACATCTTCCTTGTTGGATTTTTCAAACACATTGGGTTTGTGTTGGCACATTGTCTACTGTGAGAACTGATTGTTGGATTAGGCTGAACTTTAGTCTAATCCAGCATCACATTTCTGATGTTCTTGCAGTGCTGGTAGAGAGCTTTAATCAGGTATTCATCCTAAATGTTCTCTGAAGTCAAATTATGGAGAGAATTGTTGGCCTCTGGTGCAGGAGACCAATTGGAGGGTTAGAACATATATAAATGTTTTAAATATTATTAGTGTACTATAGGTAAGAAAATTATTGGAAGTGTAACTGTATTTATAGGTAATTATTACTTTTTTTGTTATGTGACTAGAGGATTGTAACTTATTAATAATAATACAATTTTTGAAAAAAACAAATTATGGAGGGAATTCAGGGCAGAGGTTCTAAACTGTAGGTTTGACATGCAACTATGTCTGGCTGTTGGGTCAACATCAATACCTTCCCCAAGTCTTTGTGTAAATGTAGGGATTCAGAAGAAAATGTGGCAACCTTTTCCCATTTTCCATTGGGCTTAAACATAGCCCAATGATTAAGCCCAATGGGAAATGGCCAGCGCCATAGGGTGAGGCTGGTCTCTTTCAGTGGGAACCAAAGTCTTTGTGGACTTCCATGGAAAAGGAATGGGTGCAGATGGGTAACAGTCCTAAAGGACATTTGCTACAAAGTAAACTCTACTGAAGGGACGTGGTGACGCTGCAGGCTAAACCGCAGAAGCCTGTGCTGCAGGGTCAGAAGACCAAGCAGTCGTAAGATCGAATCCACGCGACGGAGTGAGCGCCTGTCACTTTGTCCCAGCTCCCGCCAACCTAGCGGTTCGAAAGCATGCAAATGCAAGTAGATAAATAGGGACCACCTCGGTGGGAAGGTAACAGCGTTCCGTGTCTAAGTCTCACTGGCCATGTGACCATGGAAGATTGTCTTCGGACAAAAACGCTGGCTCTATCGCTTGGAAACAGGGTGAGCACTGCCCCCTAGAGTCGAACACAACTGGACAAAAATTGTCAAGGGGAACCTTTACCTTTACCTAAACTCTACTGAACATAGTGGGAATTACTTTCATTCAAATATATATAGACTTCTTCCACAGAGAAGCATAGTCATTTCCAGCTACATTCAGAAGAAAGGAGAGAGTGAAATATAAAGAAGAAAGAGCACTTTCAAAGTTGGTGGGAGCTACAATGGCCAAACTCACAACTCCCGCACCAAATGAGAAGGAGTTGCTCCTCAAGTAGCAACAGAGAGTTCTCTGTATGAAATGCTAAAATGGTTTAAAGCAGTGTCTAAATATGCATCGGTTCACAGGACTTAAGGTATGAATTGTGTGTAAGCACCTAAACAGCAATAATTTGCAAACGAAATGTGGGGTAGGAGATCCTACATTAAGATCGTTCATCCACACAGAACAAACAGCTTTATTTGCTCACCGCCTCTCTGTCCGGCTGTTGCGACGATGTGGACTCGACTGACTTCGCTGTGGAGACGATACATCCTTCTTCCTATCCTTGGTGGGTGATGGTGGCCCTGTTCCTTTGCTGATCTAACAGGAGAAGGAAAATTATGGTAAGCAATATAGACCATCAACTGCTTCCTTTGTTAGAAGATTGGGGGGAGGGGAATGCAGGAGCAATGGAAAGTACGGAGCAAAGGGCTGTAACAGATACTCATATCTTGCAATAACGTTATTCTTTTTTGAGTTGTCAGACCGGTTGATCATTACATGACACATCTATCCTTACAGCAAAATGACAAGCTATATAAAAATTGTTTCTATATTACAGGGTTAGGGGTCAGTGGCCAACTGGGATGGGACAACTGGAACTTTGCCCCAGGTTGCCAAATTTTGGGGGTAAAACCCTTTATCCAGTTTTCCAAGACTGGCCTGACAACCTGATCTATAGAAAAAGAGATCAAAAGACCTGGCAGGCTACAGAAAAGAGTGGTTTGTATGCTGGACCCCATAGCAGTGGAGGACCAACCTACCAAAAGCTCAGTCATTTGATCTGGCAGTATCCAGACGGAGGTCTAGTATACCTCTATCATGAAGGTATAAAAAAGTCAACTTATTAAAATATGTGGTACACTGAATTCTCTCTTTCTATCACACAGTATAGATTTGTTTCTCTCTCTGTGTGTCTATAAAAACACACACACACACACACATGCACAAATACATGTGTGTACGTGTTCATATATATAGATATACAGTGGTGCCTCGCTTAACGAGCGCACCGTTTAACGACGAATCCTCATAGCGACACGTTTTTTGTGATCGCTAATGCGATCGCATTGCAATGTTTTAGATAGGGAAAACATCGCATTGCGATTAGATAGGGAAAACATCGCATTGCGTTTCGCTTACCGATCTTCGCATTGCGATGTTAGGAAACAGCTGATCGGCGGTTCCAAAATGGCCACCGGGTGCAGAAAATGGCCGCCCGCAGTGTTTTCGCACCCTGCCCTCGCTTACCGAGGTGGCGAAAATGGTGGTCGGATGGGGAATCTTCGCTTACCGGTGAGTTTCCCCCCCCATAGGAACGCATTAAACGCCTAGAGTGGTCCTGACCCGACCAAAATAAATTCCTATGGGGTTATTCTTTCCATATAGCGATGTTTCTGGATAGCGACGTTAATCTGGAACGGATTAACGTCACTATGCGGGGCACCACTGTATATGTGTGTACGTGTTCATATATATAGATATATCCGCCCCCTAGAGTCGGACACGACTGGACTAAAAAATGTCAAGGTTTACATAGAAATATATGAATAACACATTTTCATTCTTTTGCAACTCTTTCCTGTGAGTGAGAGAATGCTGGCCAGGTTTTCACTGCTGTAATTACTTCTTGCATTATTTCCCCATGAAGAATTAAAAAGCTGATTTAAGAACACTTTCTATATTTTAAATTCTACTTTATCTTCCTTTTATTTTATTTTATGATACTTTATGGTGTTCCTTATTGTTATCTGTTGTGTATTTCTTGCATTTTATTTGGTAGCTGTTCAATATTTTGTTATTCTGTCATTGTTGCTGTTTATATTGTTGTAAACCATCCAGTGGCCTTGGCTGCCAGATGGGTGGTATAAAAATCAATCAATCAATCAAATTTTTACTTCTTGCCCTGGGTACAAAAATTGTTAGTTATGGCTCTGTCTATGGCTAGTAAAACCGTGGTGTATCTAAAGTTGGTTTATGAGCCTGGTTGGCCTGAGATATGACCCCAGATTGTTCCAGCATTTATGGATGCTGCATCTTTCAGCTGCAGCGATTTATGAGAATGTAAAACACCATGCAAGTTTCCTGTCTCACCACCTGCCACATCAACAATTGGGTGGACCAGATGACCTCTGATAGTCCCTCCAACTGTGTAATTCATAGTGACATCAACATAAGCATGATGCTCTTGCTGCTCTTACATTGGCAGACAGGTGATATAATAACGCAGTGAACAAACAGACCTAAGACCCATCTTCCCATCCCTTCCTGACTACTTCTGCCTAACACTGAACACAATAATTTCTTCAGGACTTTGCACCAGAGCCCTGTTCCATCATTGAGGAAGTATATAGAGCCTAGAGGTACGGGGCTCCAATGGAAATTGATTACAACAATGCTGATTACAATAGCATTGTCTTCTTCACATGGTTCACATTTCCATTTTGAACCTGATAGCGGAGTGGAGAGTCTTAGCCCTTTCTTCAATGCATGTGGGCATTTAGTCATTTCCTTAATGACTAAATGGGGCTAAGGTGGCACATTCATTTGATCTGTAGGAATGGACTCAGCTAGAGAAACTCAACTGAAAGGATTTGGCTTTGGGGCAGAGCTAGGGAACATGCCCGCCCCCAATGTTGCTGGATCCCAGCTCTCATTATCGGTTGTCGATACTTATGGGTGATGGAAACTGGCAGTCCTGTATGTGGAGAACAATAGGTTCCCCATCCCTGCTTCAAGGATTAGCCCACATATAGCACTAGTTGTTACTCCAAACCCACAAGCAACTGCAATGGCTCCATCCATCTCACCTTAAGTCTCATGTCACGGGAGTGCCTTTCAAGCTCCTTGCGAAGGTCCTCTCGGCCCAGCTTCTCCACATCCAAGATGGAGTGTTTCCATTCAATTTGCTCCACACTGTGTGGATCGTGGGAAACATACTGCCCAAGCTTCACCTTTTTAAGGGTATGCCAGCAGCGCCGGTACGCCTCCTCATAGTCAAAGATCAATTCACTCAGTGTGCGGAAAGTGGGTGCCTTGTACATGAGATCCTCACGCCGACTAATGCCCAGTGCACCATAGCGGCCCCCAAAGTTCACTCCCAGCACAATATGGCGGAAGTAGTTCCCTGAGAAGTAGGTTTTGAAGCTGATGGGGAACCGCTCCAGTGTTGGCATGTTGTTGGTGAGGTAACTGTTAATGGTGAAATATTTAGGAAAGCAACAGTATTTCAATTTTGAAAATAATACAGAATCTTCTGCACAGCTCCTACAAAACCCTAGCTTGGCTCTACTCGTACTGATGAGTAGACATAGATACTAAATCCTATTTACTCCATCTAAAGAGACAAGCCATTAAATAAGGAGGGATCTTGTTCTTCAGTTGAGACATATATAGGCATCAACACAGGCGAATGGCTATAGAGCAGTGTTTCCTAACCTTGGGTAATCTAAATGTTCTTGAACTGCAACTCCCAGAAACAGCAGCCAGCAAAGCTGGTCATGCAGTCTTCTGGGAACTGTAGTCCTCCTGAGTTACTCAAGGTTGCCTTAGAGCAGAGGTTGTCAACCCCCAGTCTGCGTCCTAGTGCTGGTCCGTGGCCTGAGCCAGACCGGGCCACGGAGACATACCTCCCATCCCCCCCTGCACACACTCCTCTCCCCACAGCTGTTTTATGTATGTGCCCGTACCAGTGCCGGTGTGAGCACTCCCCCAACCGTGCATGCGCCCAAGCGCCTGCACGAAGGGGTGGGTGTGCAGGCGCTCCTGCACATGCATGGTTGGGGGAGCGCTCATGCCAGCGCTGACAGGCGCACGCTCCCCCACCGCTTCACACATGTGCCCGAGAGCGCACCCGTGCAAGTGCAGGATTGGGTGCCCCGCCTTCCTCAGAGGCTCAGCTGGCCTGCGGTCCCAAAAATGTTGGGGACGGCTGCCTTAAGAGTATCCCTCTCTTATTTGATGAAAGGCTCATCTGGTTCTCAGCATTTCTGCTACAGAAAGGCAGTTGCTCAGAATGGGAGAGGCGGCATTCTCTCTGACAGCATCTAAGTAACAACCATATTTGCCTAGACAGGCTTATACAGTATTACTCTCTGGCAGTCGTCTCTTGACAATGGACAGAGGTCTTGGGGAGACCGACCAACCAGCCAGAACAAGCATGGGTAGCACCTTCTTTAGACAACTAAAAACTTTAAAAAAATAAAAATAAACAGGCAAGCTTGAGCCTTGGAAGGCTCTTCATTAGCCTGGGGATTTTTAACCAAGAGGAGGAAAACAACAAAATCTAAAAATCATCCTGGCAAATTCTGCAGCTACAGAAGCTGATAATGTGAAGTTAAAAAATGGGAGATAGAAACTTTGTGGAAGCAGCTTGAAGGATCTAGTTTCCCATCAGGGGGTGGAGAACCTGATATCTGAGATTAGTTCTGCAATTTGTAGTCTTTCTCTTGCAACTTTACTTTGAACTGCAGACCCACCAGCTTAATTTGGTAGCTACTTTTATGTTTCTCCTCTATCCACAGCTCTGCAGTTTCCAGCCTTATGCAGGGTCCTACAGGACTCTGAAGCTCACCTGTTATTGACAGTTCAATTGTCTAATAAAGATATTAGTCATCTCCACTTTAAGATTTTTCCACAAGAAACACATGGCTTTTTTCCCCTTTTTGTTGGGCAGACATAGCAACCCACCCAGGCATATACTCCATTCTTAATATATGCTTGCAATTTGACTATCACAGTGGATATGATTTAAATTAAAAAAAAAACAGATTTTTTGATTATTTAAATTAAAAACTGATTTTCAAGATTAAAATTGTGATTTAAATCATGTTTTAAATCAACAGGCTACACATTGCCCCCCCAGCAAGCTGGGTACTCATTTTACCGACCTCGGAAGGCTTGCAATTTGACTATCACAGTGGATATGATTTAAATTTTTTAAAAAACAGATTTTTTGATTTTTTTAAATTTAAAATTGATTTTCAAGATTAAAATTGTGATTTAAATCATGTTTTAAATCAATTTTTTTTAAAAAGTGTTATTTTTGATCCACCCTAGCCCCTTAAAAAGGATATTTCCTGGTGTTTTAATCTGTTTCTTAAGATACATTTTTATCCCAGTTTAAGTTCAAAGAGTAGAGATTTCTATACTGTGCAGGCAGTGAGAAAGAAGTTTGTCACCAGGATGGTTTTCAGTAACAACATTGCAGTCCACAGATAGTGGGAAGGTTTGATTATCGTATGTCGGCTTAATAGGTAAAGATGTTAATATTAGCTTTTGTCCACGTATGTAGTGTCTTCACATCAGCTAGTAAACAAACTACAAATCTTTAATGAGCTAGTTCCCACATATTGTCAAAGTCAAGGAACTATGGATAACAAACACCAGAACAAGCCATGATGTTCAAACTAGGGTTGTGAATCTAGATGTTTCTTGGTCCTATACCTTTCTATGGGATTTCCTGTCCCATCTTTTTAGCCAGTGAAATGCCCTCAGTTTCATTCTGTGAAATCCTGTAATTAATTCCTTACATGATACATTGGATGCTATTCTCCCTAGGATCCCTTATCAGCAGCTAGAGAAATCTTTCCTGCTAAAACCAAGCAAATAATGAATTTTAATCAGATTGCCTCTGAATATTGGCTATTATGGGCCATTACTTGGCCATTCAGAACAAATTTAAATTGGCATAAATCCTCCACTTTCCATTCATGATTAGGCACTGAATGATGGTGAGGGACATGACAAAAAGGATTAAAGGTCTCCCTACAGTATATAGCCAGCCATTTAAAAAAAGCTGTGGCTTACTTAGGTAAAATGCTTATGTTCTGAAATGCAGAGGGAACAGCAGATAGGTAACATAATCATAAATTTAGCAGGTGAAGACCTATAAACAATAATAGAACATAACAACAGACTAAATTTCACAATGCAGGAAAACTTAAGATTTTTACCAGGGGTGGGTTGACTCTTCCAAAATGATGGCTATCATGCTCTTGACTCTTCGTCTCCGAGCCATCTGTCATTATTGGCCATTCACAACAGAATGACAACCTGATATTCATTCATTATTTACCTGCATTCACTGCAACATGAGCTCAAAGGGATTTAACAGAAAACAACTACACTGGAAAAATGATCTCCTACACCCACTAGAGTGTATAAGATGCTTTCTGAATAAAGAATTCTTCAAATTGTTTTCAGTGTGCTGGAGTACAGATCAAATGAAACCCTCCATAGTCCAAATGTGGGATAATGCAGTTCTTGGACTTCTGGAAGTCTCCCACCCATGATTTACTGCCTTGCCTTGTTCCAAAGTGGTTAGCCATTGTTTCCTGGAAGGGACAGCAGCAGTGGAAATGGTAGTTAAATTGAAGTCACTTTGGTTGCTTTGCCAGCTCACATGAAGGGAGAAATGATGGGGTTCAGTTCAACGTCAAAAAACTAATTTTGTACCTATCACTTATAAGTTGGCATGAGATCCTTCAAATGTGGTCAGTGCTACAGCAGGAACCAAAATAAAGATATGCAGTGTGAGCCACTCATTTCACCCTTACATCTCACTGGCACATTGCTAGGCCATCTTTCCAGGAAGGAGGCATTACCTGGGGTAATGGAGAAGTGGACTGGGTGAAGCAGAACAATGCAGACAGCATCAGGAATCTCCAGATGTCTGAAGATCAGCAACAGTGGCCCTGGGGGGCAGGGTGGGGACCCTAATTTACAGCTCCTAATTTACTCTGCTGCTTCAAGCATCCACCTTATTTTGCCTAGGCAGGCACCAATACCAACTATGAAATGGAGGGCAAACTCTGTCAAATCACAGAATACAGTGGAGCATATCCTTGTGATCTTTCAGGGGCAGGAAGCTGCTCACACGAAGCATTGTTGAGTCCAGACAGACCGGGTGTGGACTAATCTAGAAATATCAAAGATTTAAAGTTCTGAAATACATCCTATTTCCCCAGAAACTGAAATGCTAGTTCATAAGGATAACATGCAATATAATGAAAATATTCTTCAAATACCCTCACAAGTTTTCAAATCATTTTTCAGTCACTGAGGGAAAATACTGATCTGTACAAGAAATACAGTGTTGCAACTCACGTCATGATGATGGTCTTCCCCTACACAGATTAATCTGGCGTTTCACAGATTATTAGGCCAGCGAAAAGGAAAATATTAGACATAACATGAAGTTGCCACCTTATCTTCAAGGTTCTCTACACTCTCCCTGTCCAAAAAGAGAGGAGGGATAGAGAGCATCTACCCAAATATACAGCATTTTGCAAATCAGAGTAACAATACAGGATACAGAGTGGATTTGAGATGCACAACATTAGGCTGGTAATGTTGAAAAGGGCTTCATGTGAGCCTGTATGTCTATGTGATTCTAAAAGAAAGGATACATTCCGAGGATCACAGCCTCCAGACACTTGATTGGTAGGGCCTCTTTTGTCATTTCTTTGGCCAGATCCATCAGCCTATGGGGAAAAGGAGCAGGAGGAACATGAGGATTGTTGTTTTTTTAAAGAGGTTTTTGGGGTTTTTTTTAAGGCATGTGTCAAGCAAAATAGAGAACCACCTGGGGGAGACAGAAAGTGGGAAGCGAAAGAATGCCTGGTCACATAAAGACAGAGGAGAAGTAAAGTGTTAGACTCAGTTCCTCATCACTTCCTTCCCCTTCTTCTCTGCTGACACAGAATTTTCCTTGAATGATTCAGTTAACAGTTTATCTTCTAAACTGACCTTTACACACCCCCAAGAATCTGAATCAGTTCCTATGACAGTCAGTACAATGGTGGTCCTCAGATCTCTTTCGCTTGATGCTTGAAGCCAGAAGCCAATTACAGTATAGAAAGGGAGCCTCCCCAAAGCCCACAGTATGGGGGGCACATGTAATTAAGAATGTGCATCTCTGATGATGCACATTCTTAATTACATGTCCTCTGTAAGTGCTGTCCTCTGAAGATGCCGGCCACAGAGACTGGCGAAACGTTAGGAAGAACAACCTTCAGAACACAGCCAAAGAGCCCGAAAAACCCACAACAACCATTAGATCCCGGCCGTGAAAGCCTTCGTGAATACAATGTGCATCTCCATCAGTATTTACTCCACCAGCAAGACATCACTGCCAACAACAAAATTCCCTAGGATTCTAGGCAAGAAGATACTGAAGATACTGGAACACAAGAGACTTTTCTTAAGAAGGCTTTGGACTATCTAGGAAAGAATTAGCAATCCTGGAAGTAATTATATAGCCTATGTTGCTCTTTTAGCGGATGATATGCATGCATATTTGGGGAGTTGCTTAATGGATCCTGAACAGCTGTAAGAAAACCATGCTCTTATAGAAGAGCATGAAATCATAGCTCTTGAGCAGCTGCAACCAAGCTAGAGCTGAGCTTTCGTACTGAGCTTCCTAAGGGAATCCAGACACTGACCAGCTTGGAGGTCAACCCAGGCCTTTGGCGAAATTCAGAAAGGGAAGAGACTCCAGAGGATGGGAAGGGGGAGGAAGGTTTGAGCAACATCACTTACCCAGTCAAAGGCCTGCTTTTCTTGATTTCAAAGAACTGTGTCCCAGTATGATTGTACCTGGGAACAAGGAGTTAAGGGCCACACTGCTGAGAAAATATGGTTGGAGCAGCCAAGAGATGCCACCATAGATACAGCCATCATTGTCATCCCATGGCAGACTCTCTCACATTTGAGAAGCCAGACACTACATTTAGAGAACATGTAGATGCCAGAAAAAAATCAGCAACTTAAAGAAATTGTGTACAAAGGGCTTAACTAGGTGTGGACAGTTCATGTGTCTCTTCCCCTCAATTTTTTTCAGGACTTAAGTATATGGGGATGCAGACCGTAACCATTTCCTTGCGAGCTGTGAGCCTGTCAAGAACCTCTCCACCTTCATTCCCCACAATGTGGCTGCTGGCCTTCGAAAGGGGGAAGCTCCTGTTGGTGCCAGATGCAATTTACTGACACTAACAACTGGCATTCAATGGAAACAGGAGTACTGAATAACTCAGTGCTAAGCTTGTCTTTCTCACCAAAACTAGGCTGGGGTTTTCATGGCTGATTACTGTTCCTATTGTTCTTCAGCTTCCTTAAATGATTAACATAGGGATCAAGCAAAATGGCTTTTGAAAATTATACTTCTGGTACTGGGGAAAGGGGAGTTTGTAACAGAACAGATTTGTCTTAACTTGCAGCGATGAAAACAGGACACCCAGGGAACAAACCAAAGAAAACTGGCCAGGTAGCAAAACCACAGGTTGTCAGAAATAGCCATTTCCTTAGGGAAGGAGTCTCATTTTCCACTTGGGCTAAAGGATCAAGCAGGCAGAAATTCTTCCTTGTGGTCAAGCTAGGGAAGTTTCTTTGCTTCCCTTTTCACTCCTCGGCCATTTGGAAGAAGTTGAAAGGATACTGAAGTTCCCTGATATAGCGCTGTATAGCTTCCAGGCGCTCAGGGACAAGAGTTGACGGCTGGAGCGTAGGCACACTTGGTATAGGAATCTGTAGATGAGAGAGAGAGAGAGGAGGAGGAGAGGAAGAGGTGAAGAAAGATGTGAGATCACCAAATAGAGAGAGAGAGGAGGAGGAGGAGAGGAAGAGGCGAAGAAAGATGTGAGATCACCAAACAGACAGTGATTTACACAAAGACACCACACCCGGACACAGCACATGAGATCATTACGCCCACATAAGCAGCACATGAGATAACCCATCTTTTCTTTTCTTTTCTTTTAATTGCTGGTCACCTGAAGTGAGTCAGGCACAGAGAGAGGCAAAGGAAAAGAAAGGAGTGAGTTTATACTCCCATTTATGGACAGCTAAGAAGTAATGGGCTGATTTCAAAAATGCCTGAACAGGGGTGGAGATGGAGACAGACAACGTTGTAAGGCTAGACTAGTAAACAACTTTCCAAACACTGCAAAAATGGCAATGCACAATATAGATTTTTATGAAGCAGAATATCAACAAGAACAGTAAGTACCAGGAAAAAGTAGGGATAGATGAGAAATCCATGTGCTTTGTCATTTTGAAAGAAAATTCTGAAACGTGTATTTTTCTTCAGAAATGCAATGGGAATAACTTGAATTTTTTAAAACAACTTTTAAAAAATAAATTAATGTGGGTAAAAGATAATTGATCCAGAGGGGTAACCATCTTAAGTCTCTGGATGGAAGAACAACAAAATCTTGTAGTACCCTGATGACTAACAAATTCTATCTGACATAAGCTTTTGTTGATTGCAGCCCACTGATACACTTGAATAAGTGAGTGGCTGTTCACAAACGTTTATGGTAAATAAAACTTGCTTGTCCTTAAGGAGTCAAGAAACGTTGATATATCTGTAAGATTCAGCACTCCTAGTAGTAAGGAGTTTTACCCCCTCATGCACCTCTCAGTGTGACAATGATAAGAACAATTGTGAGTGAAAAACACATTTTCCTTTTGCCAGTGAACATTACAAAATTCTAGTTTGTGTACTTGGAAGGCACAAAATAGGGGTTTAAAGTGCAAGAGCAATTTAATCCATTTCTGACACTACAGGACTTGGAACAACTCAAAAATATGAGTATTGTCTGATATCTACTAATTCTAAATTATCACATGTGCCATCTCATGAGATAGCTTCTTTTTTCTTTCTTTTTCTTTTTTTTAACTGTTGGTCACCTGATATATAGTCATGGAAGCCAGCTCTCAGATGGACACAATGTAAGAAATATGACACCAGATGAGTACAAGTATCTAAAGTTATTTGTTTCCCCAGTATGGGAGCACCCACAGAAAACAAAAAATAGTTGACTCATACTTGCCAAATGGGCACTGTCACTTAATTTGTGTGTGTTTTTTTTTAAAGGCTCAATACCAAATCCACAAAAGCTGTGCAGTAGAGGGCTGTCTAGGAATGGCCAAATTTTGTGTGTGTGTGTGTGTGTGTGTGTCAAAAGTCAGTTGCAGACTGCTCAAATCAATGATCTAAGCTCTTTATTACAACTGAAAGAGAAGGAAGGGGAAAAATATATTTGTGCAGAATTCTAGCCCCATCTCAGTTTCAGCTGGATTAGCAACAGCTGTTTTAATTGATTGTTTCACTATGGAAGCAGCAGCAGCTGCTACTCCCCAACTGCATTTACATCTAAGGTACATGCAATATCCCTGGACAATGTAATGGAAACCATACTAAGTAAGGAGGAACCTCCTCCTATAGTTAGGCCCTCACTTAAGCAATTAGACTGATGAGGAATTCAATATACACAAACCTGGGCTTAGAGCCCAGACACAGCTAATGTTTCCTGCAGATGCAGGGCTCCAGTAATTCCCCTGAAGGGGGGGGGGCAAGGTGAGAGAAGAGAATGATCCGTCCCTCTCTCACCTCAGAGCTAACTGACAAGCAACATTAATGCTCTGTCGAGATATCATTCATTCTGCAATTTCTTTCACTCAGAACAAGTTTCAGTTAATCTAAGCAACTGCTAAATAGAAACGAATGTTATGTCACATTATTGCTGGCTATTTATTTCCTTCCAAACAAAGTTTTGACAGGTAGATTGTTTTGTTCATGGATTATGCAGTAAAGTTTGTGACATGGCTAAGAAGAGACCCCTGAAGCTCTCCTGTTCACCAGCTGTTGTGTAAACTCCCAAAGCAACAAATCTCAAATAATGAGTAAATTTTGCGGGCAGATTCATATTACCATGGTTTTCCATGCAATGGTCACAGTTATCATAAGACAGCCTGCTCCTATGAAGTTTCCATCATGAACCTGGTGACCTTGGGTCATTCACTCACTTCGTCTGATCTACCTCAACCATTGTTGCAAAGACAAAGGGAGAAGGGAGCCGAGCCACATATGGCTCCCTGGGAGAAAAGAGAACTCTATATACATACCTCATAAATGAATCTTCAACTATTGTGTTTAGAACGTGTTTCATTATAGTAAAGTAATGTAGACTGGAAGGCGAGAGGGTTACCTGTAATGAAATGGAACTTCCTCTGGGCATTGTAAAAGTTATTTGCAACCACTTGCAACAAGTAAGGGCAAAGATATGTCTCCTTGTTCTCTCTCCACCAGCCTGGTTTGCAAAGGGATTGAGTAGGGGGACCTCTTCGTTTCACACTGTTAATATGACACTTTATAGATATGCAAGTGGGCTTTCTTGGCTGTAACAGCCTTGAGGTGAAATGTCCCTCCCTGGAGGCTTGATTAGCACTGACATTGCCCTTCTTTTAGCCCACAGGTGAAACCTGGCCATTGAAACAAGCATCTGAGGTTCAACAAGATCACAGCAGGTCAGACTGTGGGTTTTGTGTTGTTTGAGTTAATTTTCTCCACTTTTTTTTTAAAAGGTTCAACTGTTTCCACTAAAATTGCTTTCAACTGATCTTAAAAGTGACACTTCCAGATCTGCTGATACAGGGCAGGTTAGAACTACAAATAATTAAATAGCTCTGATCCCACTGCCCTCCTCATATGGAAGCTTAACCTCTGCAGCTGGGAACCTCTTGTATAAATGGGAATTCTTCATATGATTCAAAACTTTAATTTTCCAGGGTTTCATTTTGTATGGAGAATACCCACAAATGGAAAATACTCCCTGTAGTACAGGTTCACCCTGAGCATGTGTTTGGTGGGAGCCTTCATGCTTCTACATAGGCTTGAGGACTGGGCTGAAAACAAAATGAATTTTAAAGGGGATAAGTGTAAAGTACTGTACCTGGGCTGGGGACTCAAACACACAGTTACAAGATGGGGGATACCTGGCTCAGCAATACTACAAGTGAGGAGGATCTTGGAATCATCATATTTATTTATTTATTTTACTTATTTATTCTATTTGTACCCCGCCTATCTAGTCAAAACAACCACTCTAGGCGGCTAGATCACAATCTGAATATGAGCCAGCAGTGTGAGGTGCCTACCAAAAAGGCAAATGCTATTTTAGACTGCATTAACAGAAGTACCGTCTCCAAATACCACAAGGTACTAATTTGAGGGGTTGTTGATAGGACTACTGAATGGATGTCTTTAAATTTATCTTAGCACTCCTTGCTAGGAACTGTTGCACTTTGTTTTAAGTTGTTAACAGAGTATTCTTGAATTGTTGTTTTATAATGATGGTATTTGTAAACAGCCCAGAGTGGCCTTGGTAGCCAGATGGGTGGTATAAAAATCAAATGAATGAATGAATGAATGAATGAATGAATGAATGAATAAATGAATAAATAAATATTCAGCACTTGTTAGGCCTCATCCTGAGTACTATACCCAATCCTGAACATCACATTTCAAGACGGATGCTAACAAATTCAGAGGAGGGCAACAAGGGTGATAAGGGGGCTGGAAACCAAGCCCTATGAGGAAAGACTGAAAGAATTTGGCATGTTTATCCTTGAGAAAAGAAAACAAAAGGGAAATATAATAGCACTTTTCAAATACTTGAAAGGCTGTCATACATAGGAGGGGCAGGAGGATCTGTTTGTGATCATCCCAGAATGCAAGACATGCAACAATGAGTTCATGTTACAGAAAGCCAGATTTCAGTTGAATATCAGTTAGAAAAATTTTCTAACTGTTAGAACACTTCAGCAATGGAATCAACTACCTTGAGAGACAGTGCATGCTCCAACGCTGGAGGCATTCAAGAGAAATTCAAACAATCACCTGGCAGATATTCTTTGATTTGTGATCCTGCATTGAGGAGGGGGTTGAACTTGATGGCCTTATAGGCCCCTTCCAACTTCATTATTCTATGATTCTTCTCCACAAGTCTTCCCTGAAGAGGGCTAAGGGTCATACTATGAGTTGCCAACTGGGTTGACAAGATGTTAAAGACAGAGCTTTTAATGGGTGTAAAACCTAATTCTTAACTTTTAATTCTTATTATTATATTAACTGAGTTGCTTTAAAATATTGTTAACTCTATTGTGTTGTAATGCTACAACTAACTTAACTGGGTTGTAAGAGAATAACCTTTTTTGAAAATTAATACTTAAAAAAAACATGTTGCAAGCTATCTTGGGTCCTAGTTCTGGGAGGAATTTGGGATATCAATCAAATCAGCAACACAAATAAGCGGACTTCCACCACAGTGCATTGGTAGCAAAATTTTCTTTTGGATGCTACTGTTTAAAAGGACTTCAGCAGAAAGAGCCCATGACTGGAGAAGCAGAATTGTAGGAGACTTGCAAAGCATTGCTGCAAGCTTGGACTTTCCCAGAGACAAGGAAGTTTCCAACCATCCCTGCAGTTTTTACAATGCAGGCACAACCTCCATTAGGAATCTATACGTGAACTCCTGACACTGGTCTACTGGACCAGCCAGACATTATTATCTGACTCAGAGAGTTTGGGACTGGATTTCATCCAGGAAGCCTACGTAACAAGGATTACACCCAAGCTTTGGAATTGTAGAGATTTGGCAAGTCTAGCATGCATATGCAGAGAACAGAGCACTAAAAACCAAAAGCATCTAGGGAAAACAAAGTTTGGCAATAATGTGCAAAAAAAAACAGTGAACAAGATATGAAAGATGTCTTCAATCCCTCCAGGGAGCCTTTAGGTAGCATAAAGTACAGTATACACTATAAGCCAACAAAATGCATTTCTGTTCATGCCACCCATTCTGCTTGCTTCTTTCAAAACAAATAAATCCATTTGTATCCTCCGTAACAATGACTCCCAGTCTTGGGCCCTCAGGTGTTCTTTGATTAAAACTCCCAGAAAGCTTCACTACTAGCTGTACTGGCCAGGAGTTCTGGAAGCTGTAGTCCCAGAATACCTGGGGATCAAGGTTGGGAACCATTGCTTTATAACAACCATTCTGAGAAGCTGTCCATATCTCCAAGAGGAATACAGAAAAGCCAAAGACAGAAGAGGAGGGATGCAGAAACAAATGTTTTTCCCTAGCAGGGGAAGCAGGGCAATCTGACCCTGTTCCAACCAAGGGAAAGCCACTATCAAGCCATTTAGGTCAAGAGTGGCATCAGGATGCATTAATATCTGCCACTAATATCATAGTAGATCCTGGAATCCTACTGAAGGCAGTAACAGTGGACTAGTGTCTGTCCCCTGCCCACCTCCAGTGACTTGGCAAGTGACCCTTGCCAAGCCACATCACAGGGTCATCCAACAGTATCTGTGACTGCAGCTGAGCTAGGATTTGTTCCCAGTAAAATACCAGAGTAGTCAATTTGCACTGGCACAAGAATCTCTGTGTCTAATCCAGTGAGGGGGTAGAACTGCCAAACTACAAAACTGCCTCTATAAGCCGGGGGGGGGGAATCAAAGCAAAATAACCTATAGCCGTGCCCCGCTTTATGATTGCCCTGCATTACGACGAAACCGCATTACGACGACATTTTTGCAATCGCTTTTGCAATCACAAAACGATGGTCTGAATAGGGGATTTTTGCTTTGCGATGATCGGTTCCCTGCTTCGGGAACCGATTCTTCGCAAAACGACGATTTTCCTACAGCTGATTGGCGGTTTCAAAATGGCCACTGCGTAAATAAATTGGCTCCCCGCTGTTTTCTGGGACAGATTCCTGGCTGCACAGGCACTGAAAATAGCCGCCCTATGGAGGATCTTCGTGGAACGGTGAGTTTCCAGCCCACTGGAACGCATTGAAGGGGGTTCAATGCGTTTCAATGGGCTTTTTATTTTCGCATTATGACGTTTTCGTTCTACAGCAATTTCGCCGGAATGAATTAATGTCGTAATGCGAGGCTCCACTGTACTTGAGGACAGCCAGCAGACTGAGAGATAAGATGCCTCATAACAGCTGTAGTGATGCCACCTCTAGGCAGCCAACAAAAAAGGCAGGCAGTGCTAAGATGAAGTCAAGTCACCTCATTCATACAAGAAGCTGGGAAGTTACCTGCACAGAGGGAGACCTGGCTAGTAAGCAGCTTGTGTACAAAGCTGTAACTCTTTCAACTACAAACTTCCAAGCCTTCTTTTTTCAGGGAGTGGCAATTGTATTTCAACTGCCAGAAATGCATGAGTTGGTACATGATTGCAAGCTGACAATCACTAAGACAACACACCTCTTGTCAAAAGTGGCATGCTTTATTACCAGCCAAAGATCCTTTTTTCCTACCCTGTACAATACTGCCATTACTAGCAGGTTCTGTCTGTATTCAATGGAGCCCAAGCTCATGTCATCATTTTGGCAGTACTGTATCAAATTTCCCATCTGTCTCCCCTCCACAGAGTCCTACCTCCCTTTGCTCATGCAGCTCAGCCATCTGGTGTTGCTGCTCACCATACAAAAGAAAGATCCTCTTGGATTAAACGAGCCACTGGTCTATTCCACGAGGATTCTCTTCCCGTAAATTCCAGCCTAATATGGCTAATTCAGCATCTTATGCGCCTGTATTGGAAATGGTGCAGATATGCATCATTGGGGAAGAAAACAACATGGCAGTGAAGATTCATTGCTTTCTCTGACATTTGTGCACCACTCCACCAACTACACCTGTTGAATAACACTGATGGGAAGGAAAGTGATCCAGGTGTTATTGGATTACAATTCCCATCAGCCCCAGGCAGTACAGCCACAGAGACAAGGGATGACACAAATTTCAGCCTAGCAACATCTGGAGGGCCACACATTCCCCACTCCAGTTCTAGTGATCCCTTGAATCGTGCAGCAGCAAGAGGAATCCTCAATCTGTATTTATGTGGTTTTGGTATGGCTATTTTCACTCTTAGAGGCCACATATATTTCCCTGATGAGAAAGACAACGGGCAGAACCCTGTTCACTTATACAGTCAGGAAAGAGAAGCAACATGTTTTCTTCACTTCAGCTGACTCTCCTTCATGTGGCTAGTTATGAACTAGTTGCAAAACAAGGCAAAGGCCAGCCAGCCAGTGAAGAAAAAGTGCCGCATCGTTGCCCTTCAGCATGTGCTTTTTCTTAATAGGATTCTTCTGTCTAAGACACTTACAGATTTTAAGTGATTCTCTAGGAATAGATAACTGGTGCCCTAACCTGCTGTAGGAGATCTGTAAGCATCCAAAGTATCTTACTTGCTTGTTCACAATCCAGTGCTAAAAGTTATGGATAAACTTTCCCGAACACTATCTTTTTCTCAGAGTTATTCCATCCTCAGTCCCAGAGTGCTGCAGCTGGTTTTTCTATTTCACAAGCCCCCTTCAGAAATTATTTCATTTTATCTATTTATTTCATACACTTCTATGCTGCCCAACTTAGTATATTCAAAATGAATTAGGGTAGTGGTGCCTACACAATGTAGTTACTTTCCCATGGTGAGCCCCAGTGTCATATGCTGTTAGCACTAGAAGGGATTCTTTAAATATTTTAACAAAGTTGTTCAGAACAAGAAGGGCAGCCCTTTCCAGAAAGCACAGGTGGTCAGCTCAGTTTCTTATATGCACCAGGAGAAGCAATGCTGAGGCCCATGTGTGACTAATGTCCCGTCACAGTAGGAAAAACACTCTCACAAGTGTTCTAATGATGTATATCCATATGAGTTGGAACTGAAGATTGTCCCATGACATTTTGCCATCTGAAGTGAAGGACAAAACGCCCTTCACCAACTAGGTAGATAATAAGTGACAAGACAGTTGTCAATTTTGGGCAGCAGGTTAGCCCAGTGGTTGCAAGACAGGCTACCCAAGAAACTCTCAGTTATGTTCTACACTGGAGAAGGGTTTCCATTACTGCTTCCTTTACACTACTAGTCTGCTTCTGCTTGAGGTGACTGTCTCATTCTGTCACATCATTAGGAAACATACTTTAATTATTAAAGCACTGCATGGTTTCAATTCCACTTCATTACCTCCCCACCCACTGGGCATTTGCTCAGCAACTCTTGACATGCAGTTTCCCCATAACCCTCTTTTCTCACAAAGCACCTTCTCACCTTGGGTAGGTCAGCAACTCCCCGGATTCTCAGCGCCACTCTTTCGCCCTCTGGGTGGATCTTGGACACATGCTTCCACATCCTTTCCCAAGTGGCTTCATCGATGGGAAGCCCTCCCCGGTTTACAAAGAAAGGGACGCCCCCATCTCGGAGATCTTCATCTCCATCTTCTTCCTGTTCCTCCTCTCTTTGTGCCACCCCTTCCTTGGCCTCAGACCTCCGTGGGACGGCGGCAGCAGCATTGCCGCCAGCATCCGCTTTGCCACCTGGCATCCCAGCATCCGTAAATTTGACCTTCTGTTGCTGGAAGCACAGCACGTCCGTCCCCTCGGCTTCCTCAGGTTGCTAGAGAGAGAAGGACCACAGCTGACACTGCAGGCATGGCGCTTAAGAGAGCCGAGGAGGCCCTTTAAGACAAGACCAGACAGACAGACAGACAAAAAGGGTGTGGTTCATTTACACACCACCCAAGAGAAATCAAGTGCTTGCTTTAAAAAAAAAAAAAAAAAACAACACAGCCATGAATCTGAGGCAGCTGGTGCAGAATCTTAAGAACTCAAGAAAAGTTAAAAGAAAAAGGGAAAAAATGCACGTTTGCTTGTTCATTTAGATCAGGGGACTTTTCCTTAATGATGCAGTACCACAAACAACAATAGGGCGATTAAGGGAAACTGGGGCGGGGCGGGGCAGCGATAAGAAATACATGCCATGCAAAAATCCGACCGAGGGTAAGAAACGGAACATCCCGCTCACCTACCTAGCAGGACATCGTCAACCACGGGCGCCGCAGCAGCCGCAGGTCCCAAGCAACCATCGCCAGGGCCGGGCGCCAAATCCCGCCGGAGCAGGAGAAGCGCTGCCGCCCTTGGGCTAGCAGCCGAGCGCCGGGATCCAGAGCCTCGGAGCCCCTTGCCGCCCAAAAGATGATAAGGAAGCCGAACAAAAGAGGCTGAGGGAGCAGCAAAGCCCAAGCGGCGGGCAAGAAGCCGAAGGGCGCAGACGGGCGGGCAGGCGTGGGTAGAGGAGGCGCCCTCCGGGT